AGAGAGAGAGAGAGAGAGAGAGAGAGAGAGAGAGAGAGATGCAGGATAAACAGAAGGGACACCTGTTGTGATCAATCCAGACCTGCTGAACTTCCCCACACCCAGACCATCATACAGAACCATGACTGCTGCAGGGGTCTCAGGCTCTCAAAAACAAAAACTAGCAATTCAGCTAGATTTTGTAAACTAGCTGTAAAACTATTACATTCAGCTAGACAAAAACTCTAGCTGAATGCAATATAACAGACCAAAAGGTGTCATAAGTTCAGGCTTAAAAGCTCTTGAGGATTACCAATGTTTCTAAACAAAAGTTTATAAATGAGACTGAAATCTGTTCTCTCAAATATTAATAAAATGCTTCTTAACAAAAATGGTTAAAAAGTTCAAATAAAAAAATGTCAAAACAACAATTTAACAAGTTTAACAAAGAGAGATGCAGGATAAACAGAAGGGACACCTGTTGTGATCAATCCAGACCTGCTGAACTTCCCCACACCCAGACCATCATACAGAACCATGACTGCTGCAGGGGTCTCAGGCTCTCAAAAACAAAAACTAGCAATTCAGCTAGATTTTGTAAACTAGCTGTAAAACTATTACATTCAGCTAGACAAAAACTCTAGCTGAATGTAATATAACAGACCAAAAGGTGTCATAAGTTCAGGCTTAAAAGCTCTTGAGGATTACCAATGTTTCTAAACAAAAGTTTATAAATGAGACTGAAATCTGTTCTCTCAAATATTAATAAAATGCTTCTTAACAAAAATGGTTAAAAAGTTCAAATAAAAAATGTCAAAACAACAATTTAACAATCTGAGAGCTGTCTGACCCTGCATAGACAGCAACGCAACTGAAATGTTCCCAAGCCCAGAAACGTAGCAAAGAGATCTGTAAAATAATCCATGTGACATCAGTGGTTCAACCGTAATTTTACGAAGCTACGAGAATACTTTTTGTGCACTTTTTGTGGACTTGGGAACATTTCAGTTGCGTTGCTGTCTATGCAGGGTCAGACAGCTCTCAGATTCCATCAAAAATATCTTAATTTGTGTTCCGAAGATGAACGAAGGGCTTACGGGATTGGAACGACATGAAGGCGAGTAATTAATGACAGAATTTTCATTTTTGGGTGAACTATCCCTTTAAGGATTAATAACATTTGTGAACAAAATATGTATAAAAAAAAAAAAACAAGAGGGCAAGTCAGTTAAAAAAGAGACTACTTTTACGTTGTGGCTGTGACACAACAATCACAGCTATTGCAGAACATGTGTTACACTCTCTATATACTCTAGAATGAAGTACCAAACATCTAGACACACATAGAAATTCATACACACAAACTACTGCTAATAGTGTTTAGACTCAAACTATCGAGTGCAAAGACAAACATAATGATTCATTTTTCAAGTTGTTTGGACTAGACTTTCTTTTTGCTACCGCTGACAAAGACTTCTGAGGAACAGACAATGGACTTTAGAGTTTAAGCATCCTGTGTGTCAAACCCATGTGACTTCATTACATTTCATAATCCTCACTTCATCTCAGTGTTCACTGTAATAACCTTAAGAGACACTTTTGAAGAAGTTAGATAAACTTTGTTATATTACAACAGCTGTTTAGCCATCACAAATGTGAAGCGCTTTTAAAACAAGACCCATCAACACTGACGTTGAAATTACATCATAAAGACCATAAATCCACTAATTACAGACCTTAAGCATACAGCAGCTAATTTCCTTATCAAACACAACAGGACACTGACTAAACCTCTGCTTATAAATGCAGTTAACAGTGTAAATATTTACATGGTTTCCTAGAAACAGACGTTCTACACTTGAAATGTACTGCAGATTTAATGAGGGTAGAGAAAGGGATCTGTATTTTCCAATACGCATTTTTAAAAAAATTCACTCCATCCCAAGATACCTAAAAAGGAATTAATTTTATATTTGAGATGCAACATGACATATCTGCCTCAATCTGGATATCTGGGACATCTGTGTATAACTTGAGATCTTGGAAACATCTAGTGCTGTCAAATCTGTTTTTGCAAATAGAAAACTTGGATGTTTTTTTTTTTTTGAAGGCAGACCAGATTCCTCAGATTATTAGGGATTCAGGTGTTTGATGGCCTGTCAGAGTACAGCTCGTTTTTTCCCATTTCCATCAGCATTTACAGGAACTGACTGCATGTGCGGACATGAACAGACATTTGGGAACTCAATACTATTGTATCATGAAAGATGCAGGGAGTGTGTGTGTGTGTATGCCTAAACAGTTCAGAAAGAGATAAAAACAGTAAACTTCCTCTAAAATGCCCTTCTGAGTGTTTACACTTACATATACACTACCATTCAAAAGTTTATGGTCACTAAAATGTATCAATGTTTAATAATGTTAATCAATTATTAATGTTATTAGTACAATTTAAAATAACTGTTTTCTGTTCAAAAGAACAGCATTTATTGGAAATAGAAATCAGAACATTCTACATGTTTTTACTGTCACTGTTGATCAATTTAATAAATAATTATTGAAATTAAGCATGATTTTTCCCCCAAATAAATAAATAAAGTCTTTTTTATTTTAGAAATCCCGCAACTGCAAGTTACATTATAAAATAGTGTAACAAATAAAATTATAATTCCAATGAATATGTTCAGTGAACATTTGCTTTATATTAACTATTAATAATCTAAATATAAAAAGTGAAAAAGTAAAGATTGTGATTTGTGATTAATATAAAGTACAACATAAGTATAAACCCAATGTAATGACACCAACTAGTAAAGAGTAAAGTAAAGAAAAGATTTCACCTCCCCATTCAAATCTAATTATAGTGTGCATCAGCTTGACGTCACATAAAGCTCTTGTATCTTGAACTTCAGAAAATGTGAAATAGAGTGCACATACAAATACGGACAACTTACATGAATCCGTAACAACCATGGTAAATGTACAGCATCTTTATAATATACACAAAGCTATGTATTGGAGCCACACAGCCCTAAACCAGATTAGTAAATGACCACAGTTTTGCTGTCAAATTCTTGTAAATTGCTTTACAGGTCTATTCGCAATCAAGTATGGGTTCATGTTGGGCTGAATCTCTACTTGATGTTTTTTGACTAACAATCTTTAAACAAAATCACTGTAGTCAGACATCTACAGTATTACAGCGCCCTCTACTGCTATTAGGCAGATTGATTTACTGTGGTCATGAGACTCTAAACCATTAGGGTTAATGTAAGTGTGGAGACGACCACTAATATATCAAGTTTTACATATGCCAACAAAGAAATATTCAAAATCATGACCAACAATTCAATAATAGAATTGAATCAATAATAACTGTTCATAACGAGTCGAGCAAAATTTGTGCAAAGTTGTGTGGACTGACCTTAGTTGGCCTTTGAGCTCGGTGAATCGTGGTCGTTTGCTGGGGTCGTATGCCCAGCACTTGGTCATCAGGCTGTAGAGGGTTGGTGGGCAGTTGGGTGGCATCGCCAGACGCTCGCCGTTCTCAATCCGGCCTATCACATCGTTATTCTTCACGCCTTGAAACGGCTTCACTCCATACATTAGTATCTCCCACATACACACCCCTGAAACACAAAGTGAGGTTAGATACACATGAAGACAACTGCAAGATTCCACCTCTAATGACTCAACTTTAGCACTAATTAAAGGTGGCTATAAAACAAGAGCTGTCACTTCCTGATCTACACTATTCATTAAACTGTCGCTACACACACAGAATGGAAAAATTCCAATTCTACTCCGCAAAAGTAGAGGCTCTCTTTACACACATTTTAGAAATGTCCCAAATGCACTGCATGCATAATGCTAATGCTAACTTTTCATTGTCTGAACATGCAAAAGAGACTGAGTTTCTCTGTTTCTAACAGAGGAATTCATCGAAGTAAAGCACACACTCACTTACCAAACATCCACACGTCACTGGCTGAGGTAAAACGTCTGAAGTTTATTGACTCTGGCGCCATCCATTTAATAGGTAGTTTTCCTTTAGAGGCTGTGAAGAGAGAGAGAAAGAGACAATGAGAGTGAAAATGAGTAGAGGTCTGTACATTCAGTCAGGTGTAAAGACTCATTCACACTAAGAAAGATAACGATAATTAAAACTATATTAGCATTCACACAAGCGGATGATAACACTCTTTTTATTATGGTTTGTGAACATAATTGTTGCACAATTTAAAGTAGGAAAGAACTTAGATTTGCTGTCAATGCTTTTGCTGTTCATCATTTCGAACAAAAAATAAAAAATGCCTCAAAGTAACTCAATATCATCCAATTAATTTAATTTTTATATTTAATTTACTATATTATATTGAATGTTTCACATTCAGAAGCAATAATGTTTTTGTGTTGGCTTTCTGATCTGTACTAAAGAGGGTACATTAATACCTTTATAATAAGAGCTGTCCTCCATGTATCTAGACAAACCAAAGTCTCCCAGCTTCACACAGTCCACTGAGGACACCAGAACGTTCCGTGCCGCAATGTCCCTAAAAAAAGAGAGACTTTACTTTGGAATGTGCTGAGTAGACATCTATAAGAGCTGTTCTTTCTACCTTATTTCCATAATAAATATGCATGCAGAAATGCTACTAGATGGGGATCCTGTCTGCAGAAACGTTCAACAGGAAATGGGTGCTGTTCATTATCAATTATGATGGCCTGCACGATGTGGACACTTACCTGTGCACAAAGCGTTTACTCTCCAGGTATGCAAGAGCTGTGCTGAGCTGGTAAGAAAACAGGATGAGTGATGCTAAATCCAGACTGTACTTCCTAATCTGAAGAAAGGAACGCAACTGAAAAGCAAAAGAGGAGAACATTTTCATAAATATGATTGGTAACTACAGAAACAGTATTTCAAGAGCTTTATGCAAATTCACAGAAAACGAAATTAACTTGAAATTAACACTGAGCACTAGATGACGCTGTTGAATTGGTCACAGGAAACTACAGTCTATGTCTGCACTAGTAACAGGGTTCCCACACCTTGGTTAACTTCAAATTCAAGGACCTTTCAAGGACAACATAGTAGAACATCAGCACTGGAATTAATAAACAACAGGCAGGACCAATATAATTTTTATATAATTTTTTATTCTCTTTAAACACATCGTTCTGTTACATGTTCTTACAACATTTCAGCCAAATATTAATTATATATGTTAATTAGATGTGTTGAATTCCTGTCTAGCTATGTGTGTTTATGTTGAAATATACTAAAAAAACGGTTTGTCTTTTCAAATCTTCTATCGCGTGTCATTATATTTTTTGAGTTGACGCTTCAGAAATGTGACATTCTTTCCGGTAAGGGAGCATAGTGAGCGCTGATGCTCCCTAGTTTTTGCGGTGCATTGTGGAATTTTTCAGGGAGCGATCGTTCCAGTGCACTGGAAGGATTTCATGATTGAGACCAAGATGTGGTGGTGTAAACAATTTATTCTGAAGCAATATTTTATCGGTGTGCTGTCGGCTTTTACATTTATCTGCATATTTTTGATATTAACCTCAGGATGTTATTTACTTTTATAAAGGCCATTTTTTAAAACCTTATTAAATGTATGCATCATATTTCATGTCAAATTCTTACAATTGATCAATAGATTAAATTTACACTAAGGCTGTTATCAAACAAATTAATTTACATTGCACAACTACAACTGCATTAATGTTATGAGACTAATGTTTTAAATGCAATTTTGAATATACAAAATGGAAATGTTGGGGGGGAAATACATACTTTTAAACATACTAACCCCGCCAGTACTATAAAGGGTTTCCATCCAAAGTTGCGAATTTAACTTTGGAATATCGCATAAAACATCCTACATTAATACCTTTATAATAAGAGCTGTCCTCCATGTATCTAGACAAACCAAAGTCTCCCAGCTTCACACAGTCCACTGAGGACACCAGAACGTTCCGTGCCGCAATGTCCCTAAAAAAAGAGAGACTTTACTTTGGAATGTGCTGAGTAGACATCTATAAGAGCTGTTCTTTCTACCTTATTTCCATAATAAATATGCATGCAGAAATGCTACTAGATGGGGATCCTGTCTGCAGAAACGTTCAACAGGAAATGGGTGCTGTTCATTATCAATTATGATGGCCTGCACGATGTGGACACTTACCTGTGCACAAAGCGTTTACTCTCCAGGTATGCAAGAGCTGTGCTGAGCTGGTAAGAAAACAGGATGAGTGATGCTAAATCCAGACTGTACTTCCTAATCTGAAGAAAGGAACGCAACTGAAAAGCAAAAGAGGAGAACATTTTCATAAATATGATTGGTAACTACAGAAACAGTATTTCAAGAGCTTTATGCAAATTCACAGAAAACGAAATTAACTTGAAATTAACACTGAGCACTAGATGACGCTGTTGAATTGGTCACAGGAAACTACAGTCTATGTCTGCACTAGTAACAGGGTTCCCACACCTTGGTTAACTTCAAATTCAAGGACCTTTCAAGGACAACATAGTAGAACATCAGCACTGGAATTAATAAACAACAGGCAGGACCAATATAATTTTTATATAATTTTTTATTCTCTTTAAACACATCGTTCTGTTACATGTTCTTACAACATTTCAGCCAAATATTAATTATATATGTTAATTAGATGTGTTGAATTCCTGTCTAGCTATGTGTGTTTATGTTGAAATATACTAAAAAAACGGTTTGTCTTTTCAAATCTTCTATCGCGTGTCATTATATTTTTTGAGTTGACGCTTCAGAAATGTGACATTCTTTCCGGTAAGGGAGCATAGTGAGCGCTGATGCTCCCTAGTTTTTGCGGTGCATTGTGGAATTTTTCAGGGAGCGATCGTTCCAGTGCACTGGAAGGATTTCATGATTGAGACCAAGATGTGGTGGTGTAAACAATTTATTCTGAAGCAATATTTTATCGGTGTGCTGTCGGCTTTTACATTTATCTGCATATTTTTGATATTAACCTCAGGATGTTATTTACTTTTATAAAGGCCATTTTTTAAAACCTTATTAAATGTATGCATCATATTTCATGTCAAATTCTTACAATTGATCAATAGATTAAATTTACACTAAGGCTGTTATCAAACAAATTAATTTACATTGCACAACTACAACTGCATTAATGTTATGAGACTAATGTTTTAAATGCAATTTTGAATATACAAAATGGAAATGTTGGGGGGGAAATACATACTTTTAAACATACTAACCCCGCCAGTACTATAAAGGGTTTCCATCCAAAGTTGCGAATTTAACTTTGGAATATCGCATAAAACATCCATCATTCCATCCAACGAGTCAGAGAGTCAGAGAGAACAAAATCGTCACTTCCTGATAAACTGGCACTAAATATCACTAAGAAAAGTAAGAGAAGCCACCGAAAATAATAATTCTCAAATATAATAAATTACTTGCGCTTTGAGTGAGCAGACAAAACAATAAATGCGGTCTTGCTTTCGGAGGTGAATGTCAGCTGTTTGGGAACGCAGTCGTGGAAGACCGTTCTGGGAGGCAGTTATACAGAAATACTTTGACGACAGACTTTGCTCGGGCACTTCAGAATGACCATGACAACATTTCAGATGCTGTGCAACAAAATCGGCCTGCTGGTTAGTTTTTTTTCCAGAAAGCTTCTTGCACAAAATAAATTCAAGCACTTTCAAGGACCTGTATCTATGTATGCTTATTTTCAAAAACTTTCCAGGGCCTTGACATTTTTTTTTCAGATTCACAAACTTTCAAGGATTTCAAGGACCCGTGGGAACCCTGTAGTAACAAGGTTCAATGGCTTTCCTCCACTCATAGTCACCGGCAAATTTGTTAAAATCACCACTGCTTAAGTGTAGTGTAAATGTTGATCCATTTTAATGCATAATGGACAGTCTAGCCTCCTGTCAATCAACCACTGCACTGAAAAGAGGGTTTAAACTTTGACTAAACAGGGCTAATAAAAATAATGGGTGAATTGTACGTTTTTACATACATACTTTATACATACTCAAAAATTCATGGAACATCTTGGATATGCCTGCCACATATGCTGCAACAGATAATTAAATCAGCTAAAATAACATACGTAGATCATGTAAAGTTGGCACAACCTAATAGTTAATACAGTTGCTTGACTAAAATAACAGAACATCTGAATTGCTTGACACTTGAAATACATAGATGCATACATACACACACACACACATACATACATATATATATAGACACGTACACGTGCATCTCAAAAAATTAGAATATCGTGAAAAAGTAATTTTTTTGTAACTTATTTCAAAAAGTGAAACTTTAATATATTCTAGATTCATTATATGTACAGTAAAAAAGAGCTTACAGCTCATGAAAGTTAAAAATCCAGTATCTCAAAATATTTGAATATTTCCTAAGATAAATCAAAAAAGAGATTTCCAAAACAGAAAAGTTCAAGTTCTTTAAAGTATGTTCATTTCCACTGGCAGGGAACAGAACCCTCTACGTCACAACATGTGACCGCAATCGCTTGTTATCTCTTGCGGAAGGAGAGCTCTTCTGTCGGCCATTTCTGAACTGGCATATTTAATTGTTGTGTTAATGTTGTTAATTTACCTGAACTCCGACGGCTTTTAAAATGCTTGTTCGTGATGCATCAGTGCCGCGTAAATCAATCGGTGTATGTACATCAAATTACCGCGAGAGCAAAAGCATAAAGAGTCGTCTGCTCTCCAATTGCCCTCATGGTCCTTTGATTGCATATGCAGATCACTGTACATAGCGATTTGAGTGAGCAGACAAACTGTGGTCTGTAGTGAAAGCTCTGCCTACTGACGTCATAGAAAAGTTCGACCAGCAAGGTTTTGGGGCTGGTTCGGAACCAGGATCTGGGCACCGGCCCAGGAGTTTTTTTGAGTGGAAAAGCGTGGCCCAGTTCCCAATTGGACTCCAGCTCCGGCACCAGCCCCGGTGGAAAAGTGGTACCTGTGGCACTGCCTAGGCACTACTGAGCCTTCAGCTCGTCTGTATTGTTGGATCGACTGTTTCTCATTTCTCTTGAAAATATCCCATAGATTCCATATGGGGTTGAGGTCAGGCATGTTGGCTGGCCAATCAAGCACAGTAATATCATGGTCAGCAAACCATTTGGAAGTGGTTCTGGCACTGTGGGCAGGTGCTAAGTCCTCCTGGAAAAGGAAATCAGCTTCTCCATAAAGCTTGTCAGCAGATGAAAGCATAAAGTGCTCCAAAATCTCCTGGTAGACGGCTGCATTGACTTTGGACTTGATAAAACACAATGGACCAACACCAGCAGATGTCACGGCAACCCAAATCATCACTGATTTCAGAAACTTCACACTGGACTTCAAGCAGCTTGGATTCTGTGCCTCTCCAGTCTTCCTCCATACTCCAGACCTTGATTTCCAAATGAAATGCAAAATTTACTTTTATCTGAAAAGAGGACTTTGGACCATTGATGCTTCTGACATTGTTTCTGTTTCAGAAGTGGCTTGGTAGCCCTTTTCCTGAAGACGTCTGAGCGTGGTGACTCTTGATGCACTGACTCCAGCTTCAGTCCACTCCATGTCAAGCTCTCCCAATTGTTTGAATCAGCTTTGCTTGACAGTATTCTCAAGCTTGCAGTCATCCCTGTTGCTTGTGCACCTTTTCCTACCCAATTTCTTCCTTCCAGTCAACTTTGCATTTAATATGCTTTGATACAGCACTCTGTGAACAGACTCTCCTCTCAGTAATGATCTTCTGTGACTTACCCTCTTTTTAAAGCTGTGGTAAAAACATTATGTTCTGTTTATTAGTGCCTCACTTTTTCTCCACGATCACTCTCACACACATACCAGTACCTATTCGGGTGTACAAAAGCTAACAGCTGTGCTCTTACTAACTCCACATTCTGAAAATATTTGGAGTTTCGGCACCAACTATCCAAAACACATTCCTCTCAATTACAGTGATGGAATGCTGACGGACACAGCCATGGGAACGACACAGATAATGCAGTGCTGTTACTGGCTGCTGGGTATCAGTGATTTGACACTCACAGGCCTCCTGGAGAAACTTCTCTCGAACACAGTCCGAGGTGCAATTCTTACACGTCTTTATCGCCACAGAAAGAGCTGGGTTCTCCTGACAGCACAAAAACAAGAAGTAGTATTTTAATAACTGTTTCAGATTAATACAACATTAACATAACATTACAACTTGCAAAGTAAAAGTCATTATCATCATCACATTGAGTAATTCATACTTCAATATAGACTAAAGAAAGATATTTTTTGTTTGAAGAAATTAATACTTTTATTCAGTAAGGATGCATTAAATCAGAAGTTACATTGTTACAAAAAACAAATCAATTTAAAATTGGCTGAAATTTTGAAATGTGCTTTTCTTTTAAATACTGAAGAGTAATGGCTTCCATTACAGAAATAAATTACATTTGAAAATATATTAATACAGAAAGCGCATAAATGCTGCCTTCGTGAGCATAACCGACTTCTTTCGAGCAGTAGTATAAATAAGTAAGTTATATACAAGTTAAATAAATCAATAAAATGCAATAAAAGTCATTTATACCGGACATATGTAAATCCCTTGATGGACGTCTCCAAACTGGCCCTCACCTATACAGCGTCCCAGCTCAATTCTGTCTCTTTGGATCTCATAGTCCCTGGCTGAAAGACCAATTATACCCAGTCAACACTTAAAAATACCACTTCATATATGATTATCAAAGGCCACTTTCCACCATGTACTCAGAAAAAGAAAAAAACACCATGCATTTCTTCAGTCCATCTGAATAAGTTCATATACAGCATGTTTTTCAATATGGAATCCATCCCATACATGCCATACCAACCCAATAATCAATAAAAAAAATACATACAAGACTCAGTAAAGAAAATTTACTAATGGTTCTTCATTAAAGGGACAGTTCACCAAAAAAAGAAAATTCTTTCATCATTTAGTCACACTCAAGTTGTGGGAAAACCGAACAGTTTCTGGTCCCCAATGATATCCATAGTATTTTCTTCCATACTATGAAAGTAAATGGGGACCAGCAACTGTTGGTTACTGTTGGTCTTCAAACTATCTTCTTTTCTGTTCAACAGAATGAGGAAATGTATACAGTTTTGGAACAACTTGAGTTTGAGTTAAATATATATATATATAATAAAATGCACAATTTAAATGACTGTAACTCAACCCTAAAATTGGTTTGCTATAAAAAAAAAATGTTCAAGTAAAAGATTATTTTGGACTACAAACATACACGTACTTGATAATTTGATTAAAGGGGTCCTATTATGCTCTTTCACAAAGTCTTGATTTTGTTTTAAAGTGATGAAGTGAAGTGGCCAAGTATGGTGACCCATACTCGGAATTAGTGCTCTGCATTTACCCATCCAAAGTGCACACACACAGCAGTGAACACACACAAACCGTGAACACACACCCGGAGCAGTGGGCAGCCATTTATACTGCGGCGCCCGGGGAGCAGTTGGGGGTTCGGTGCCTTGCTCAAGGGCACCTTGTCGTGATATTGATGGTGGGAGAGAGCGCTGTACATTCACTCCCACCCACCTACAATCCCTGCCGGTACGAGACTCGAACCCACAACCTTTGGGTTA